AAAAAAAAAAAACTAGTTAGAATTTATACTCCTCCTTAAAATGAAATCATTATATAATACACAGCAAATGAAAAATAAGAAAATTTTTTGGCAAAAAAACCTGGGTTGTTACTAAAAAAAAGATAAAAGAAGGAAACTGGAATAAAAATAAAAAGAACACAGAAAGTGCAAAGTTATTTTACCTTATTTTTAACAAACTTTGTTACAGAGCCCATTTCCAGTTTACTTTGAACCTGACAATATCCTGTCGATTTATCGGCCCAAATCCCATTTGATCGTCTACTTTCCATTATGATGTATGCAACAGCAATTATACCATTACTTTACAGAACTGTTTTAACCTTTTTTTTTCTTTCTTTTTAAAGCAGTAATAATTTAGCTGAAAATGCTAAGCAGTTGACTCTAAGAACAATAACAATAGGAGAAAAACAGTGTGGTTAATAGCCCTAATTTTAAAGATAAAGCTTGATACTGATAAAATTCTTTGTAAGGTATAAAACGCGTTGTGCACTTCATTTTTTTCATTTATTCACACGAACCGTCAAAACTTCAGCATTCATCCTTCTGGTTGACGACGATGTCCGCTGTCATAACTGTGGAACGAGTCAGCAAAAAACCACGTATTGCCGAGGAGAAGGCACAAAGTGAACGCTCTCAAGATTTGAGTGATGAACGTGTCATCGTTCCAGATATTCATGAGGTACAAAACGACAGTGTTCTCTGGAACCAAATACCATTATTTTTTATCAACGCTTTTTCGGCTGTTTTTTTTACACTCAAGTGCATTATTTATTAAGCTAAAGTATTGTTAAACGTTACAGAAATGGTTCAGCTTTCGCAAGTTATGGGCGTTCACAGGGCCTGGCTTTTTGATGAGTATTGCTTATCTGGATCCAGGAAACATTGAAAGTGATTTACAGTCTGGAGCCACTGCCAAATACGATGTTTGCTTCTCTGTTTTAGATTTTTTATTTGTTTCCATTTTAGTTAACCTTGTCAAAATTATCATTTTTACATATTTAAAAAATCATTCATACTCATGTATTGATTGTTGGATGATTTTTTACAGCTACAGTATTGCAATTGAAACTTGAACAGAAAATTATTTGCTTATGCATAAAAGAGTTGTTCAGGATTTGACAGAAAATTTTAGCTATTTTAGCTACTTTGGGTGCTGTTAATTGCTCATATTCTTGGCCTGTTACTTCAACGATTATCTGCCCGAGTTGGTGTGGTTACTGGCCGTGATGTTGCTGAAGTTGCTCGGCATTATTATTATAAATTTCCCAGATATTTTCTTTGGATTATGGTTGAAATTGCTATTGTTGGATCTGATATGCAGGAAGTTATTGGTACAGCAACTGCACTATATCTTCTCTCAAATGGCTGGTAAATAAACTTTCAATTTTTTCTGTCATGGTTTAATTTATTTTCTTTTTTCATGCTTGGTTTTTTTTCCTCTGATTTTGTTGCCATACAATCAGTGTGTGTCGGCATTCAATTGACCGCTTTATCAGCGTTT